TGCATCTGAGTGTGTACTAGTTAAATGATTCTGCAATCAAGGTTGAGAATTTGTTGGAGATGCAGCATTCAACATGGATCCTGGCTTGAGACAAATACCGTTCGAACCTGTTTACTAGCGGTGCGTGATGAGTCTGGAAGCAGCCGCGCTGGGGACCCTGAGCTGCGGGCATTTGGGACGAAGCGACCACAGGACTGCACAGAGCCCTCTCCGCCTCAGCAGCATCTGATAAAGCTGAGAGACAGTAACACAATTAAATGACTTACAAACATTGTTTGCTTTTCACTGGCATAAATCTGCGGTGGTTCAGTCTAGAAAAATTAAGCTGCACAATTACTGCCTGCAGAGAGATTTCTTCGGGAGGGGTCGGGTAGCCCCAGCAAGAAGTTCTGGGTGGTGCCAGCACCCAGTCCTCCTGCCTTTAATTTTTAAGAGACTCTAGAGGTGTCTAAAATATGTTTTTGAAGCAGCTGTGCCTTCTCGAGCCACCCAGAACAGTTCTAGGTACTAAAGTACAGATTTCCAGAGGATGAAGAACACCGATTTCCATCCCTCCACAAAAAAGTCTTACTGCTATGAGGACTGCACCTGAACCCACGCCCAGGACATGAAGGAGGCCTTTACAGTTTGTGAAGGACTGTAACTAGGCTATTAATTTGAGATTGCCACTGTCAAATGGCTTTTGTATCTCGGCGCTCTGTCTTCGTGGTTCAGGCTTGTAATAAATATTGTGCCCTTTATTTCTGATAAGACATGAAAGGTTGGCCTTACTCTTGAAGAAGAAGTAAATCCACAGGCTCTTGTTATAATCTCATTTCTCAGACTAGTGTTTCTTGAAATCTTTCTCGGTACTGGAGTTTTGTAACAGGCTTGTCACATAAAAGCAAAATCACCCAAGTTTATTTGAAAATGTTTTTCTTCCATGCGTGAACCCAGGAAATCGGGGCGGGGGGGGGCGAGCGTGTTATAGAGAGGATTACTTCTCGTATTTAATGAACAAGCAAGCCTTGGCCTTACATTCTGTCTCGCTACCTTTCATCAGCAGTGAGAAATATAATTTTCCTCGAGAAGGCAAATCTGAACTTTATAAAACATCAACTGTTTGGAGAGGTCTGACCTGAAAATTTCTATTTTTCAGGGACTTATTACTGCACACGCATCCCACAAAAATGCTTCACAGAAGGCCTGTCCCAGTCTGGCACAGTTTTCTTTACAAAAGTCTAGGGCCTAAAAGCTCCATGTTATCTGCGGCAAAACGCCGCCAAGAAAATAACAGTGTGCACTTGCTCTTTGCCACGCTGCCAAAGGTCCTCTGGTGGTCTCATACCAGCCGGGGAAGGCTCTGCAGCCTTGGCCTTGGAGAGCAGCTCTCAGAGGAGGAGTCGTCAGGCCCGCTGCCCCACTGCCGACTTCAGCAGGGCCTGCTCGTGGTGCTGGATTCCTGGAGCACGTGGCAGGGCAGCACGCACGGGCTGGAGAACGAGCTCGCCGTGCCTGTCTCCTGTGTCATCTCCCTTGGCCCTCACAGCAGCCTCAGGGAGACAGACAGCATCAGTCCCACTTTTGAGATGAGGAAACTAAGGTTCAGAGGTAGCACGTGGCTTACACAGGTCTGTCTCACCTCAGAGGAATTCATGGCCTCTTCCAAGGAAGACATATCTGAGAATGGCAAGTTGAGACCAGTTAATATTTACATCCATTTTCATTTGTTTTTCAGAACTCTATTGCTACATAACAAATTACCCCAAAATGCAGTGCCTTAGATTATCTCACAGTTCCTGTGGGTCAGGAATTCACAGCTGGGTCCTCAGCTCCAGAGTGTCTCAGAGACCGCAGTCAAGCTTGCCGACCAGGGCCGCGGTCACCATGAGATGGGACTGGGGAGGGAGCCATGTCTGCGATTACGTGTGGCTGTCAGCAGGGATCAGTTCCTCATGGATTGCTGGACTGAGCCTCAGCCCCTTGCCAAGTGGGCCTCTTCGTGGGGCAGCTCACAACATGGCACGGTGCTTCATCGGAGCAAGCGAGGGGGCAAAGCCAGAGGAGGTCACAGCCCCCTAGAACCCGACCTCTGAAGGGGCGTCCATCGCTTCCACTGTGTCCTCTTCACTAGAAGCACATCCCAATAACCAGCTCACACCCAAGCAGCGTGGGTACCAGGGGGCAGGGGTCATCAGGAGCCATTTTCAGGGCTGCCTGCCACACTCGCTTGGCAGTCCTGTGCTGAAGAGGTTGAGTTTGGCTACAAGTTTTCTGCCTTGAAACCTAGAAAGGAATCCTGATTTTCTTTGGAGGGCTCCATTCCATCCTGTGCGCTTTCTGAGGGAGGGAAAGGGAGTCGAGAAGCCGGGATGTTTCAGGAACACATTATACTGTGTACTCACGCCACAACTGACAGGAACCTGATTTGGAACTGTGCCCCTCCCCCCACCCCAGCAGCCTGCCAGAGCCTCCTTTGGTAAAAGGGACAATGGGGACTCCTGGGGAGAACCTAGCAGCCCACATGGGAGTTCTCTGGTGGGACATCCTATCCCAAGGATGAAACAAGCATTCAAAGTCACACCCAAACTTGCACAGCCTACCCAAAAGAGCACAGTCTGGATCTCTCATATGTCCTAATCCAATCGCAGGCATATCTTACTCAGAATCAGCAACAGGAAGAAATAAGTAGTGTGGGCAGTTCCACGGGACGCACCACTTAACAGGCGCATGGCCCAGAATGAGGATGAGATGGGCAGTACGGGCCTCTGTGCACACACCTCAGCCTTCCGATGAGATTCTAGTGTGCACACATGCATCGTCCAGGCAGTGTGGGAAGCCGGCTGCTTCTGCTGATGCTCAAGCGAGAAACAATTGGAAGGTATTTTCACTTTGCTTACTTTTTGCCTTCTACACGGACCCCTGAGAAAGCTGTATTTATTCTAGACGTTTCCCTTTTTCTGTGCTTTCTATTCAGGCTTCGCTAGGATGGGGGGATGAGGGAGCACAAGTCCCTGTGTGGATTATTCGAGTAGCCCAGAAAGCCCCGTTCCCCACCCCTCCCCCCCCCAGGCTCCCTCTGGCTGGCCTACCATGCCCGGGGCGCCTTTGCATCATGGTGCTTAGACGCATGATACCCTTTCGATGTGCAAAACTGGCCTGGCATGTAGCCATTAGCTGAGATCAGTGACTGAACTAACTACCAGTAAGGAGCTGAGCATGGGAACAAAGAACAGGATAGGTTTGCTGAGAGAAAGTAGGGGACGATGTGGCATACGGGGACCTTATGTACATGAGGCAGGGGGGCCATTCCTGCAGTTTGCGGGGAGTGGCATTTGAGAGAACTCGGTTCCTGGTGGTGAGGAGGGAGACACACCTGAAGGGGAGAGCGGGGGGAGCAGAAAGGGAGAAAGTGAGAGTTTCATGACCAACATGAAGTAGTTAGAACCACTACATTTATTGAGCGCATCCACCTAGCACTGCGAATTGCTCTCACTTAAATGTAATGCTTCCCAATGAGAATGTCGAGTAAATGCTATTATCCCCATTTTAGGGATCAGAAAACTGAGGCTAAAAGTCTGAACTGAGGCCACATAGCTAAAAAGTGGACAAGCCGGGAGTCAGTCTGACTCCAAAACTCATGTTTCTTTTCCACCTTAATTCCTTAAGCTAAGGCCTCACAGCCAGATTTCGGGGCCAATCGGGCAGGGGAGGTTCATCTGGAACCCACCCTTTGGGACCCCCAGATGGGGCTGGGCCCCCCCAAAGTACGGCCAGTTTAATACTTGGACCCTGGTGTATTGTGTCTGTAGGTTCTGCCACCGTCTCCTCCTCTGTGAACTTTATAAAATCATTCTTGAGACTTTTTAATGTTTTATTGAGGTGCAAGTTTACGATGACAGCAAACCTTTCAAACTACAGCAAGAGTAACCTGCCTCTTTGGCATATTAAAAAATAATGTTAGTGTCGGTTTTTACGTCCTGTAGTTTGGATTGCTGATAAGAGCGCTTCCTTGACAAGATTCTTTTTGAGGTTTACAGAAAGCGTAATAAAATATGTAAGTTACATTTCCACAAACAAAAGCTATCACATAAGTTATTTATAAGCGTGAGATACAAACAGTATCACGATAAATAAACCATAAAGGGTACCTGCAACATCCATCTTAATGTAATTTGCCCAACAAAAGTGTTGAAACGAAGTCAAATTTAGTAGAGAAATCTGTCAGGAAGAGAGGAAAGTTGTAGAACACAAAATGGGAAAAATGGCTGCTGGGCGGTGGATGCAAACAGCAGGACCTGAGGCGGGTGTGCCTGCCCTGGGTGGCTGCTCACACACTGACCAGTCCCCGCCGCCCCGCACACACCGCCTTCTGCAC